ATTAGATTTTTTAATAAATGTTGGTAAATGTTAATTTCACCGTACACATACAAACCAATGACAACTATTTCTATCAATGACAGATAGGCAAAGTAGGATAAATGCTGCTTGAGAACTTCTTAGCGTTTGATTTCGGGTGTTTATTTTGTATATTTTGCATATGATGTTGGCAATTTGTGTTTTAATGGTTATAAAGCTTTAATGTTTTGAATCTTGATGTTAAATAATTGTCTGACACACACACACCCCAATTTCCTATAACTGTGAAAATTTAAAACAATCAAAATAGAAAAAATGCTTAAATAAACACTTATATCTGTCAAACCTTTTAAAAAAATTCAAATTGAATTCTGCACATCTTATCTGTAAACTTGAAATTGACATTGAACAAATTGGTGCTCGATTCACCAGGGTATTGGAACCACCATTCACTTGGAGTGAAACCACATGATGGCCTGATTATTGTAAAAAAGGACCCTTTACGGATAGACCACTTTATACAGATCTTGAATGAGAAGGAAAATATAAGTGCCTGATGTCAGTGGCTGCCTCTAGAATTACACTTAACTACCATCTCATGTCCCCAACAAATGACAGTACACATGCATGTTTAACAATCCTTTTAACCACCTGCCTTTCTGGCTACATTGGGCTAGCTCATCTATACTGAATGCTTAATCTACTTGGAATCTGCATTTATGGCTGGAACACGTTGTCTGACACTTGTTACAATTCTGAATTTTAAAAAAAATACTTCCTCCATTCTTAACTAAAAAGCCATTTAACCTGAAGTGTTGAAGCAAAAGTAACCAGCCCTCTCATCATAAAGATGTTTATTGTTTTCTGTCTGTTTTTGACAATTATCACTACTAAAGGCAAGAGGAAAAATGCAAAATCTGCCTTCCGTAATGTCCCGTCTCATCTAGGAGAAATGAGTCCATAGAATTTGCAAATTATTCCACATGGGCAAGGTTACTCCTGCACAGTGAAAAGACATATATGTATATAATGGAGAGAATATGAAAATAGGCATTTATAGCGTGTAAAATATAAACTCTGAGAACTGGAATAAATAGAGTGCTTTTTGGTTTTCTTAATTAGAAATAGAAGAGGACCATATACTTGAGTGTCTCTCTTGGTACTAAAGAGGCAATAGAAATGTATTGTATAACAATAAACATAGGAAGCAATAAGCATATACCTTAAGATCTGCACCAAGGACTGTGGCTATGTCTATGCTACAGCTTAGGTTGGCATAACCTATGTTGTACAGGGGTGTGAATAATCCACCCCCCTGAGCAATGTAATTTACACCGACATAAGCGCCGGTGTGGACAGCGCTATGTTGGTGGGAGAGCTTCTCCCACCAACATAGTTACCGCCCCTTGCAGGAACTGGAGTAACGAAGCTGACGGGAGAACTCTCTAGCGTTGGCTTAGAAGGTCTGCACTAGCAGCGCTACAGCTGTATCGGTGAAGCCCTGCTGCTGTAAGCTCTGTAGTGTAGCTGTAGCTTGCGTTCTACAGGCAATGCCCCGTCTGAAATGACCACTTAGGAAGTATCCTCAAGATTTCCAATACTTTTTTTTAATGTTTAACTAAAGATCAACTGTTTTTGTGTTGGTTCTTTATACTGTGCCTAGTATACTGGGTCCCTGATCCCAGAGGTGGGTTTTTCAGTGTTACTGCAATAGAATAAAGAACTAATAATTAAAAGGGAACCGATTTTTTGTTGGTCCCTTGTTTGGCTACTTAGTGCAAATTCTCTGGTCACATATATTAACTGAAGGCAATAGGAATCTATTTAGATTGCTCAAGAAATATTATTATTATTTTATTTATTTTACACTAAACATACAAGGTGACACAACACTTGACTCAGTGAACTATGATCTAATGCAGGCACAGGAAAATTAGACTTAGTACAATAGGTGCCATGAGTTTGTGAGAGAGATGAGATGAGAGATGTGTTGCAAGCAACCACTGTGGAAAGCTTCCTGGAGGAAGTTTGGAGAAGGATTGGGAGGTCTCAGGGTGCTAAAGAAAAAACAGACTTCCAAGCATAAGAGGCAGTATGGGAGAAGGACGGATGACTTGGGAAGTGGAGTAGGAAGAAAAGAGAGCTGAGATGTAGGCTACAGCAAGACTCTGTAGGGATGTAAAAGTGTGGACAAGGAGATTGAATTTTATGAGAAAAGTGAGGGGAAAGTGCTGAAGGAATTCAGAGAAAGAAGGGACGTGTTGGAAAAGTGGGAGAGGAAAATGATTTTAGAAGCAGCATTTTAGATCAGCTGGAGGGGAAAAGGTGTGAACATGAAACTTTGACTTTCAAGTCTGCCTCTGAGCTAATTCTTGCTGAAGTGGTAGCTAACATTTTATGGCTACAGAAATATTTGTAATGTCTTTTTAAACTTTACTTGAAAAGACAGAAAGCCTGGGGCTCTCTTCAAGCTTCTAGCAGCCAAATTGTTATCGCTCTCTGCCAACTCGGAGCAGCAGTCATTTCAAGCCAGGCTTCATTTAAGTCCAAAGCAGATGCAGTACACTCGCATGTGATTTTTGTTCCCTCATCAATCTCACGTTATTGGCGATCCCAATACATGATCTGGTATAGGAGGTTTTTATTTCTTAAGAGAATCTCTTGGAATTTACTCATAGGTGTAGTTTGAATTCTGTATTTGGGGGGGCAGCTCCAGTCAGGCTAATGGGGCCACGTGGGGGGAGAGGGGCAAATTCTGCACCTGCCCATGGCTTGCAGTTTGTGGGGGGGAGGGCAATGTCCCCTCCCACCTCCCAACTACTCCCATGATTTTACTAGGAAGCAAAACCTTGTAAATGCCATTGAGATTAAGAGTGTCTTCATCATGTGTTCTCCTGTGTCCACAACTAAAGAGTAAAGCAGTAACTACAAAGTAAACAACAACCTAACACTGGCATACACACAGTAACAATGGGGAAATGAAGCTTCTCATCAGAAAGTGGTTTGGGCCAGATTCAATCCAGCCATAATATGGCTTAATTGCTTTTCAGATGGGTACATGTTAACTAAATTACCATTAATATTACAGAAGTATGTGCAGGCCTCAGTCAGGTTGGGGTTTGTTGTGCTGAATGCCATCCCTGCCTCAATCTTAGTTTAAGACAAGACATAACAGGTGGATGAAACTGGAGTGTGAAAAGCCAGGGTAAGAGTAGCATGAGCATGTTTTTTCAGAGACTAGCTATGTGCACAGTTGATTGGTATGTGTATATTTTGTTGTTAAGACAAATCAGCTGTTCAGTAGCAATAGTCTCAGCTCATCACCTACCTGACCCCTCTCAGCTGGTGGTGGTCTGTAGTCATCAAGGTGGAGGACAGGGCAATGGCATTATGGTGGCTTTTTCCGGGAAGATATTCCATGCCTAAGGGATGGAATGGAAGGAAGCTCAAAGGTGTTTGTGGGAGAGGCAGACAAGTGGGTGGTCAATCCTGCATTGTTGGCAGAGCAAAGGGGACAAATGACAACACAATAAGATAATAGAGCAGGTAGGTATAGCTGGGCTACATTGTGAGAGGCCTTGAAGGTAAGGGCAAGAAACTTTTATTTGGCATGGTTGAGACAGGACTCGTATGAGGTTGGAGGGATTGACATGGTCACAACAATGGGACAGGTAGATGATCTCAGCAGCAATGCTTTGAATGGACTAGAGTGGGGCAAGGTTGCAGGAGTCATGATGTGAGATGAGCGCCTGAATGAGCAATTTGGGGGTGTGGACAGAGAGGAAAGGTGGATCTTTGAAATGTTACGAAGGAAGAAAGGGCAAGATTTAGATATAGCCTAAATATGTTGATGCCTGGGGTTATGGGGCTGAATGATTAGGAGGAAGATAGATGGTGGTGTCCACAGTGACAGAGAAAAGAGGAAGGGGCTTGAGGGTGGATCAGGAGCTCAGTTTTGACAATGTCAAATTTAAAGTGAAAATCTGCTTCCTTCAGGTTGGAGGATAGCTAGTGTAGCACTCTGCATGTGCGACGTGTGTGTGATCGTGTTTCATCTCTAGTGACTCGCCCATGTAGTGGGTAAGAGCCTGCTACATATGCACAGCTAATTCCATTAGTTCAAGTGTTAGGTGCTTATGCATATATTGTGGAAGGTCCTGAGTTCTACCCCTGCTGACAATCCCTGGTGATTTCATAGTGATAGACTCAAAGAGCTCAGTCTATTTAGCTTAACAAACAGAAGGTTAAGGGGTGATTTGATTATAATCTAGAAATTTGTCTAGCTTCAACTTCCAACCACTGGGTCATGTTATACCTTTCTCTGCTAGACTGAAGAGTACATTATTAAATATCTGTTCCCTACCTAGGTCGTGTTATACCTTTCTCTGCTAGACTGAAGAGTACATTATTAAATATCTGTTCCCTACCTAGGTCGTGTTATACCTTTCTCTGCTAGACTGAAGAGTACATTATTAAATATCTGTTCCCTAGGTAGGGATATTTAATAATGTACTCTTCAGTCTAGCAGAGAAAGTTATAATATGACCCAGTGGTTGGAAGTTGAAACTAGACAAATTCAGATTGGGAATAAGGAATATTTTTTTAACAGTGAGAGTAATTCACCACTGGGTCATGGTGGGTTCTCAGTCACAATTTTTGAATCAAGATTGGATGGTTTTTCTAAAAGAAATGATTTAGGAATTATTTTTGGAATGTTCTGTAACTTGTGTTATACAGGAGGTCAGATTAGATGGTCCTTTCTGGTCTTGGAATCTATGAATTACAGTAGATTCATGTCAGACTATTTTCACCCTTCGGTTCCCATCCTGGTCATGGCTTTTCAGCCACACAATGCATACATGAAGTCCAAGTTGGAACTTACCTCTTAATTTTCATTTTTGGTATACTATACATATATTAATCAACATACAATTAATTCTTTACTTGATATTTGTTTGTACGGTCTACGATGTAACACAGCTGTAAGGTTCACACAGTGTTAATATTTATATATTCAATAGGAAATAGCCCGTCACCTCCGACCTGGAACCCTGCGTGCCATCTTTGGTAAAAACAAGATTCAGAATGCTGTCCACTGTACAGATCTACCAGAGGATGGACTTTTGGAGGTAAGGTTCAGCAAATCCACACACCCTTTTTATAGCCAGGTTTTTTAAAATTAGAAAATAAACCTAGCAATTTCTGGAGCCAGGGCTGGCTCTAGGCACTAGCGTTCCAAGCATGTGCTTGGGGCGGCTCTTTTCAAGGGGCGGCATTCTGGGTTTTTTTTGTTTTTTGTTTGTTTTTGCTTCAGTGGCGGAACTCCGGCTTTGTTGTTGTTGTTTGTTGCTTGGAGCTGCAAAAAACCTGGAGCCGGCCCTATCTGGAGCTATTTAAAATGTGTTGTGTTTGGAGTAACAGTACTGAAATCTAGTGATAAGTTAAAAATAAAACAGCTGGTGACTTTATTAAGAGAAATTAATTCAACTACACGAGCAAGCCGGAGGCAGAATTCTAGTTCATGATGTTGCTTGAGAACTCCACCCATACAACTTTCTCAGCGTGTTGCTGAGCAAAGTAGTGAACCTATGTCAGAAGCATTATATCATCAGAATCCTCTCATTGGCTGGACCTATCCTGAAGGCATGTTTAGCAATGTGACAAGTGCATAAGGTTGCAAAAACTCCTCTTGGTGATCAGCTTTGTTTTAGACATCCATGGGTAATTATGTGTATCAGTAGGTCTATTCTGTGCTTTATGTTAATTCTGTAATTAGTGTCTGGTTTTGGCTTTTAACATTTTCATTAAAATTCAATAAAAATTAAGACGCTAGAATTAAAGAAAGCTCACTTCAGACAAAATACAACTGACAACGTATGAAACCAAAGCAAACACTATGAAACAGCAAACTATACAACCATGCATAGCAGGAGAATTAAAGCTTTTTCTGTTTATGTACATGTGAATTTTGTGCTGGATTTATTTATTTGGTGAATTTTGTTTTATACAGCAAGTAGCAAAGTACTTCTCCAGTAGGGCTTACACTTGGCCAGCTGACACAATTTTAAACACAATTTGTTCTTGTCTGCACAGATTAGAGTCATGCTTTAACATGATATCATGTTGGTTAACATGACTCAAGGTCATATTCTAACATGACCTCATTTTTTTAGTGAAGGCTAGTTCCAGGGGTGAGAAGACAGTTTAGTCTCTATGATTCATTTAATCAATCATCGTGGTGTTTTTGTGATTTCAACACCTATCCACTGGGAGTTGATTAAGGCATTGTTCTAGCCAGGTCTATACTACGGAGTTTTGTCAGCATCGCTCTGTTGGTCGGGGGAAGTGAAAAAACCACACACCCCAGCCAGCATAGCTATGCTGGCAAAACCCCCGGTGTAGGCACAGCCATACCGGAAGAATGCTTCTCTCAGCATAGCGAGTGTCATTCAGGGAGGTGGTGGTGTTATGCTAATGGAAAAATGTCTTCTGTTGGCATAAAAGCTGCATCTACATGAGGAGGTTTTGCTGGTATAGCTGTACTGGCAAAGCATGTGTAGTGTAGGCAAGGCCTAGAAAGTTGTTCTCCTTTAACTCATCCAGTATAGTTAAAGTGGTGTGTACATGTACACATACCAGTTATGCTGGCATAAAAGTGCTTTTACTCTTCCTATGTATATACTATAGCTTTTTCTTGGTATATCTGTAAAAAACTAAATAAAATATAAAAAAATATCAAGCCTGTAACTGACTGTTATACTGGTATAACTTTCAAGTGTATACCAGCCCTAAGACAGCAAACTAATTTGTCATAAAGCACCAGTCAGTCATCAAATGGTAGCTATTGATCACTGCTTATGTGGGCTGGATTGGAACCAGTAACTAGAAATGAAAGTCTCCATGACAATACTAATGCTCTGGACCACCCAGCCATACATCAGTGAAAATTTTAACAAGCAGAGAGTGAGTAGGGTATCATTCTCCACCCCCCCTCCCCCAAGATTGGGGAGAGGCCAAAGCCTTAAATGCTCAGCAGAGAAAGGGTTTAACCCCTAAAGATAAACCACCCAGTGTTGACAGGCATTTCAGTATATCTAGCAGACTTCCATGTATATTGTTAAACAATATGGCCCAGATTCACCAATGCACCCTGGCTGCTTTTCATGAAAGAAGTGGCACAAAGAAGCTGGAGTGTATACTAGTGAATCTGGCCCTGCTTCTCCCCAATGAATTTTAAGGCTGAAGTTCTATCTCAATTTTCTAATTGCATGAACTCAAACACCACTGTCATGGTGCATGATGTCCTCTGAATCCGCAGTGCATTTACAGACTTATGCATATTATTTCATAGCATGTTCATTCTTATTTTGAGCGTGTGCTTTGCAATCCATAAACATTCCTCTTTTTCTAAATTACCTTTTTATCATTGGTGCATTTGGCCTCACAACACGGCTTTGCAGCTGTCAATTGTTTCTCCTATGACAATTTGAGTTAAAGCAGCAATAATGAAGACCATCAATCAATGTGCATTTTTAATGTAATGAAACCGTGAATACGGCATTCGGATTCCTTGGCAAACAGACATTGTTTTATAAATTATTAGAGCTTTTTGGTTCCTAGAATGCATACATTTCTAACTCTTCTTTTTAATCTCCGTTTTGTAATTAACTGAAAACCCAGCTAAGCAGAAATAAAAAAGAACCTCTGAAGGGTTTTATGGTCCTGGTACATACAACCACTTCGCTTGTCATACCTGATGAAATAGTAGTGATGTAATACGCATTCGCTTGATCCTAGGGAAGGACTGCACTGAAAAGCTTATTGAGGATGAGATGGAGAGGGCTAGTACAAACTTCCTCATAGCAAATCCCCCAAGTCTCTGTCTTTGAATAGCCCAGACTAGACCTTTATTGCTGGAATAATAATATTAATGTACCACCTTTCATCTCAAAATGCTTTAAATCTCTCTATATACTGTACAGCTGCATTGAAGTGCAGCCACTGCTGGAGTGGAGTGTAGCAACCAAATGACACACAACACAAGCCGGGGGAAATTTTGGTCAAGACTCTGAGGCAAACCACGGATCTTATGAAAAGTGCAATGGTGATGGGTTTTTTGTGTGTGGATAATTTAGCATTTTAATAATACATAACATCAAATATTTTGGGCCTCAGACTAGGTGAACTTCAGAGAGAGTGAATTCACTCTCCAGTAGGAAGACAGATTTGTGGGTCCCATTCATGGTTCCCCATCATTATATAGTGGAGCTGGCAGGATCTAGTCAGTTTCATACGTTTCGATGGGAAATTTACTTACTCTGCCACTATTATGATGCTGCAGACGTTGCTACCATGAAACCGTGGTGTGCTGTTTCTGGCTACTTGATTAGTTGAGAGAGAGACTGGACTAAATTCATCACTGGTATAACTCCATTGACTTTTATGGAGTTATGCCAGAGATAAATTTGGCCTATTGTGTTCTCATGCCAATCTGAGAACAATCCCTTATAATGCCCAAATGGAGGAGAAACTTGACCTTAGCAGTCACTTTTCTACCTGAATAAAAGCCAGACCTTTTGGTGTAGAATTATTTCTGCACTGCATCATCTCCCTGGGATACTTGTTTAGAAAATGAGCTCCCCAAATGCATGCCCTTCAACTCTGGCCACCAACAAGGCCCTGGCTTCTATAACCTGACAGTATGCAAATCCCTGCACTCCATCCAGCTGAGAGAGGTGTGCTGGAGTGATCTGGGTACAGACACAGGAACTCCCGAGTTTCACCTCCAGCTGTGACCTGTGTGTGTGTGTGTGTGTGTGTGTGTGTGTGTGTGTGTGTGTGTCGTCGTCGA